ATCGCAATTCCTTTAGTAACTAAATTATTCTTTTTCTTTCATTTATCTATATTTTAGTGTAATAGGTTAGAGTTACGAATATTTCATTATTCTTTGACTTTTTAAAATGAAATTTGTGTTTGATCGATATTTTATTTTAATATATTTGGTTAATTCTATATATTCTATACATTTTATGCGCTTCTTTAATAATTTTGATTTTGATTTTGTACAAACTGTTAATTTTTGGATTAGCTTTGAAAACGGGAAAAATTCCAATATGGACACCATCATGTCACAATGCGCAGTAAAATTTGATATATATATATATAATATTATATATATCATTTTTCTTTTACCTCATCCTATTAATGCAACTTTATTTTCAAAAAATTTTGTTTTGAGAAAATTTTTATAATTCCGTACAATGCGATTAATGTTCATTTCGTAAAAGTTTCTTTACAATCTTTCTATAACCATGAAATTAGAATCAATATTTGTTCGCCGATTGTAACATAAACGAACAAGTTAATAATTATTTTATTTATTTATTTTTTTCTTTCTTAAATATTCATTTTCGGTATAGAGTAGAATCAGTGCATCAAAAAAATAATTAAAATTTATAAATATTATGTGTCTATAAATAATAATATTAATCATCAATCACGTAGATTATTATCCTTTCATATTTTCTTTCAAGTCATTAATTCTTTGTATTTTATTTAAATATTTTAAGAAAAAAAGTTATATTTAATGTTTTTTTCTTTTTATGAAAGGTATTGACTTCATTTCATTTAGATATTAGTCTTGAAATTACAAGACAACAATATTTGTAACCGCATGCAATGCGGTTAATAGAATCAGTGTTTGCTTCGTAAAAGTTTTTTTAAATTCTTAAATGAATAACGCGAAATTAGAGTCAGTGTTTGTTTTGTGAACGTTTTTAAATCTTTTAATGGATTAATGGATAATGGAACGCAAAATTAGAATCAGTGCTTCTCTCAAGAGGACAAGACAATAATCCATCACTTAAACAGATAATTATTTTTTATTCTATTCAAATTCTTCTTCCATTCATACAGAATTATTAGATTTTTAAAATTTCAAGTTTTTGTATTAAAATCTCAATTTTTATTATTATTATTTTATCACTAATTATCGTTATTGTGCTCGTTTTAGTAATATGTTGTAATAATTGTTGTCTTTCTGATCGATGCATGCTGGTTTAACATTTAGCCATCATAGACAAATCGCGGTTTTTGAATTAATATTGAATTAATATAATTTTGCGTATATTTAATGTCCTTTCACTATGATTGTGTTCTTGGTTTATTTAATGCAGTTAAAAGTGCTGCGCAAAGATAATTATATGACGGCAATTTCATATAATGATATTGCAAACAATTGAATATGAATGTATAAATTAGTATTAGTAGAATTAGTAGTATTAGTATTAGTATTTAGTAAATAATAACTAAATATATTAATAATAAAATGTGCGTTTTCATTTTTTTTTTTTTTTATTAAGAATTGCATTGCAAATACATTAAAACACTCTTTGTGGTTCTATTTTAAAAATTTAAAAAATTAATATTATAAAAGAGAAATGATCCATGATTTATTGTTGATTTATTGTATTTATTATTTTCTCATTGAATGGATAATTTTTCTGGCTATCTTTTTCTTGTCTTTTTTTAGAATTTTTTCAGATATATAATAGAGCATTTGTTATATTATTCATAATAAAAGATAATATTTATTAATAGTAAATTCACACTAAGGAAAGAAATTATTAAAAATTTTGTAATTTATATATTTAAATTTAAATTTTTTTGAATTCTTATATTCTGATTGAAAAAAGTAAAAAATTATAAATTAGAATCAATATTTTAATAATTTAAGTTTTTTAATATTTTATTTTTTCTTCTTTTTATTAATAATAACTATTTTTTAATTATTTATTAATTTGTAATTGAATTTGTTACAAACTGAAGAAATTGTATTGAAGAAAAGTAATTTAATTTTTTTTATTTACTATACTATAAATTAATTAAATTACTATTGTTAAATTCTTTTTTAAAACTTTTATTCTTCTTTTTAAAAACCATTCATTTTCTAATAATAAAAACAGAATAGAAAAAACATTCTTATGAGATTTAGATATTTATATAAACAGGATTATTTCATAGAAAAATTTTCCAATTTCATAGGCAAGATTGAAAGTAATGTTTAAATTTCTATTAAATAGAATTTCTAAA